GGGGGGAGAGGGGGGATGGCAGTAGTTAAATAAAGAACAGAAGAAAGAAAAAATAGTTTGGAGAGAGATAGGCGCTGCAAATGTATAGAATGGAATGTGAAGGCGGAATTGGGGAGAGGGTGGTGAGGGCTGGGGGTAAAAAGGAGCAACACACAGTCAAGACAAAAAAAACAAAACCAAAAGATGAATAATAATATTGATAATGGATTGTATTTATATAGCGCACATCCACTTATGCAATGCTCTATGCGCTTAACATGAAACACATTATGGAATTACAAATCAATTTTATAGGCACATAGTATTACGTACGCTTGCACACACATACTCACGCACGCATGCACCCACACCCACACATACATTACATACACACATACACACATACGAACATACGCACATCCAAACTCACGACGATCTACAGCTTGGATGGATCCTGTCTAATCGAAATATGATGAAAATAAAAATGCTTTTAGTTTTTTCTTAAGCATTTCTAGATTTTTTTCTTCTCGGATGGTTTTTGGAAGTCTGTTCCTAACAAATGGGGCAAAATATGAAAAAGAGCGTTGGTCATATGATTTGTAATTTATTTTAGGTTTAAAAAGGGTTGTTTAGTCACTTGATGATCTGAGCGTTCTAGGTGGTACATAGGGTGTTAAAAACTGTTTTAGATAGTCAGGTGATAGATCATGTAAGCACTTGTAGCAAGTTAAACAGATTTTATATATGATACGCTCTTTCAGTGTAGTTTTTTAATTAAAAATAGGAGTCACATGATCATGCTTTAGTTTCTTAGTAATTGTTTTGGCAACAATATTTCGTACTCTTTGTAGTTGTTGCAACTGTTCATCAGGTACACCAGCCAGTAAGGAATTGCAGTAAGTAAGTAAGTTTATTCAGTGTTTAAGGCCATTGGCCCACATCACATCGCACAAGAACATTCATAATTTGATAAATAATGTTTCCATAATGAAAAGGTACAGGTTGTGCACATATCTCTTATCATGAGTCAAACATTGCATATTTCTGTCACTGGGCTGAGTCAGCTGGGAGGAATTAACAATTTCCCTTGATGGACAAAGTGTGAACAATTAAAAATAAAGAGAAATTCATCTTCAATTTCATGAGAGTTACACCTCTCACATAAGGGCGAATTAATTCATTTCCACCGATATAGATTGTTATTTAGTGGTAGGCTATGAGTTTTTAACAAAGCTATGACTCTTCTATTCCAATACCGTGGGAGGTTGGTGATATATTCAGTTGTTTCTTGAAACGGAATTGTAAGAGACTTCTTCCTCTATGTTCTGCACAGAATGATCAACAAGTCTACTTTTTACTTCGCTGAGAAAGAGTCTAGTGCTTCCAACATTTTGAGAAAACCAGGCATATCCAAAACCCAGGGAAAATAATAGGTTTTTAACTTCCGTAGCCCAGTTGACTTGCAGTAATCAAGCCTTGAGAGTATAAGTGATGTTATTAAAGTTTTGGTGACATCAACAGATAGATATTTCCTAATGCTGTCTATTTTCTTCTGTTGGAGATATAGATTTTTGCAAAGATTCATATATTTGGGAAAACAACGTGCTGAATGTCCCTCTGATGACGTAGATGAGGAGGCCAGTCAAGGAACATAACCAAGATAATGTGGTTTTAAGCAGAATGGACGCAAGACTGTTGACTTTCCCTTTAAAGTTCCCACTTAAAGGAAAGGTCTGAAGTCTTGGATAAACTCTCGCTAAAACCTAATGAATTCGGTTATCTACCTTGGCCGTCCTACTCATCTACGTCACTGGAGGGACATTCAGCGCTTTGTCTACTTGAATCTGTGGATTTGTTTTTGTCTTTTCCTGTATGTGTTTGTGTGTGTGTTATTGTGTGTGAGTGTGTATGTGTGTGTGTGTGTTTGCGTGTTTATGTATGTGTTTGTATTTGTATGTGTATTTTTGTGTTTGTGTGTAAATGTAAATATCTAGCATCTGCGACCATCCATTGAATAACCTAATAGTGTTGATAGGGGCGTTAAATCTATACCATTTAGCATCTGCGGTTGTCGCAGAATTTTTGCATTTTTTGGTTCGCGAATCGCGGCCGCGATTTTTTGCATTTTTCCATCAAAAATGCACGCCGGGAAGAACAAATAATTTAAAAACATCAACAACAAAAAATGGGAATAATATTCGTGAAAAAAAAGAAAGCAAACCTCTTTACTTTTAGAAGGAAAGTTCATTTTCACTTTCGCTTCACTTCGTCTCTTTCTCACTTGTTAACATTACGTTGACGAGTAATTTTCATGTGAAGAACATAAGTAAGTTACATCACATACTATTTATTTCTATTGCTGTTCCTCTTTCATGTTTCCCTCTTTGTTGTGTTTTATTTTTGTTGGTGTGTTAATTTTTTTCCTCGTTATTGTTCTGATGTGTTGTTTTTCCATTTTGTGTGAGTGTGTTTATGTAGCGTAATGATCTTCCTACCTTTTTATAAAAATGTGTTATAGTTATTTTACAGCGTGTCTCCACCAAAAACGAATACTGACATGGCAGGCCCCCTTGTGTGTGATTTCATGATCTCCATGTTAGATCCTGTACTTTTTCTTGAATTACGCGCGTTTAGGGTTAAAACGGCCAGTCTATGGATGGGTTGACACACGCCCTTATTTGTTAATTTTTGTGGTTGTTATTTGCTGTTTTAATTTTTTAAAATTCTCTGTGTGGGTGGTTGGCGGGTGCTTTGCTGTGGTTTGCTTCTTCTTTCCTATGAAACATCTTATCTCCCCTTCTTTTTTATGTTTATTACTCTCTTATAACCCCTCTAGTCTTCTGGCGCTCATATGACTTTCAGTTGCGAGCGCCGCAAAACCTCTATTAAAACTAAACACTCTGTGTGGCTGCAAAAGATATTCTGGATGCTTAAAATGAGCACAAGAAATTCTGGTGTTTTAGATGAAGTTATCTACATCAACATATAGCTATATAACGTCATCAATGAGTTGAAAGCTTGAAAATTAATGGCAACTTTTTCGGCAACTTTTTAGGGGGTTTAAAGAAAAAGATGATTATTAAAATATATTTCAGATATTTTTGTCATTTTTATCTTCATTTTTTACTTTAAGAAAAAAATTATTAACATTTTAAAATGTTGTTATACATTTTTAAAGATTTATATATTTGTTTGTTTTTAAAGGTAAAAAGGAACCACAAAAAAACCAACAAAAAGCCCCAAACCCACTGATTCATATATTTGGGAAAACGACGAGCTGAATGTCCCTCTGATGACGTAGATGAGGAGGCCGGCCAAGGGACATAACCAAGATAATGCGGTTTTAAGCAGAATGGACGTAAGACTTTTGACTTTCCCTTTAAAGTTCCCACTTAAAGGAAAGGTCTGAAGTCTTGGATAATATCTCGATAAAACCTAATTAATTCGGTTATCTACCTTGG